GAATGCCGAACCTAGTGATTTAAAAGAAGTTTGCTTGTGGACTTGACCTAATAATCTGGAGGGGCAAATGCACTGTAAGTCCTGGACATATTCCAGGTTCATGCTCTCTTGACTTTGTTAAGTTTTAAAATCATTGTAGTCTAGAGTCTTCGATTCAACATGCAGATGTAGCGTATTTTAAAGATACGTACCTTTAAATTTTTGCATTGTTTGCATTTGCATTAGGGATATAAAGGTTTTAGAATTTGTTTATGGACTGTCCTTTACCTAAACATACTTTTTCTTCCCATCTTCTAAAGATAACACTGAAAAGTATTCTATTATTTTCTCTGTGTCCAGGCTAGAAATTACTAAATTTCTAATTAAAGGTACGGTGACGGGTTATTTTCCTCATGTGGGTCATTGTACCCTCTGATGTTTTGTCATGAAACATGGCTTCTGTGGATAGAGCACTGCTCACCACCTGCTTGCTGACAAGACATAATGCTGGGAAGTGGTAAGAGCCAGAGCTGGGAATCAGAAGCTGGCGTTTCTGACTCTTGCTCACCATGATTCTAGTAAGTTCTTAACAGCTTGATTCCCAGGAACAAGGATACTAGCCTTGCTGACTGCACAGGCTTGTTTTGGGCTGAAATGAATAATGCTCTCTGAAGGCTTTTTGCAAATATCAAGAGCTCTACAAACCCACGTGGTTGTTTCACCTGAAGTGAACAGGGCTCTGCATTCCCCGTGGCAATGACACTTGTCTAAGGACATTGTGACTTATCTTTCCGTATGTGGAGATTTAGTTTCTTCAAAGAGAAAAAGAAAATTATAAAAACTGTAGGACTTAACCTGGAGTAATGACATGGGGATTTTTCGTAATCTTTATATAAATGTCATTTTTAAAGAAAGAAAAATGGATTATCATGCTTGTATATCTGGAACTTGAGTTTCATTGTTCACCACCATGCTATTACTATTCTTTGCAGGCTTGGCATTTGTGTTTTAAGTCCAAAGAATTTCTCATTCTTTAATTGTATTTAAAACAGAGGTATGACAAAGGAGAAGGTAACAACAGCAATGCTTTATAGTTTCTTTATCTTATGTCCATGAAGTAATAATTAGTACTAACAGGAAAGCATTAATATTTGGCACATATGTTTTAAGTGTGCAAACAGCACATTCCAGGTCTTCTGTGTTAAAAGAGAGAGACAGGGGGCTTCTCTGGTCGCGCAGTGGTTGAGAGTCTGCCTGACGACGCAGGGGACACGGGTTCGTGCCCCGGTCCGGGAAAGATCCCACATGCCGCGGAGCGGCTGGGCCCGTGAGCCATGGCCGCTGAGCCTGCGCGTCCGGAGCCTGTGCTCCGCAACGGGAGAGGCCACAACAGTGAGAGGCCCGCGTACCACAAAAAAAACAAACAAACAAAAAACAGAGAGACATTACAAAGATGAATGCAGAAACAGTGAGCTGTATCTTTTTTTCCTAAAAGAAATTTTAGGATGTTTACATAGCTATTCATTTCAAAAAATCATGGGGTTTTCAAACCTAGTACAACAGAGCTGCACTCGATCTGTTTGTATTTAGAATATAGTGTGTCCCTTTCCCTCATCCTGTGTTGTTACAGAGGAAATGGGTTTCAGTATACATGATTCAGGTGGGAAAAAACTGCATATTTCATTCCAAACTATTCCTTAGACTGGAGAAAAAAATCTCTTTTGGAGAAGTCCTGTTTATTTTAGAGTAACTGTAGCTGAACAATTTGTTTGTTAATGCAGAAATACAAACAGCTTTATTGAACAAGATACTATTTTCTAGCTGCCTTACAGAAAGGATTTACTCAGGAAAACAGAACAGAATTTCTCAGTTTCATTAATCAGCTTTGTAAATATTTTGCCAGAGCTTTTTTCCTCGGGGTGGGCGAAGCAAATGAAAAAGTTTAAAAGCTCATATTTGTCTGTTTTGTTTTAGCTTGATGTATTTATTAAGAGTAAATTCTGTGTGTCTTTGCAGCTCGTCAATATGTGTATTCAGAAGTTTTTCAAGTTCTTTTGCTCGCTCCTCCTCCTCCAGAAAGAAATGCTGTGCAGCCAAAGAAGCTGGGGGCGACTAAAAAAAAGAAAGAAAAGTTAGATGAGGAACACAAGGCCTTTTACAAAAAGTTTTCATATTTCTTGGTATGCTTCACCCCTGACAAAACACTGCAACTCTTAATGAAATAATGTATCTTAAGCTGAACTCTCTACACCAGTGTAATACAGTTGCTGCTAATGAACCCCTTAAGGAACGAAAACAGCAAGTGAAGAGTATAGTAGAGTCGGGCAAAGAAAGCTTATAGAGGAAAGAAACTTAAGGCTGGGCTTCAAGGGGGCTCGCTGCTGCATGGAGGTGGCCAGGCGAGGTGGGATAAAAGCATGATGTATAGTGGAGGTGGGTGCGTAATGCTGGGGCTATCTTGTTTGTCCAACTGCAGTTGAGAATGCTTCAGTGATGAGTGCCTGCTTCCACCCTTCATGTGGTATGGAAGTGCTCAGTTAACTGTGACCTACTGTGTGTAGTGCTTATTTACACACACACACGCACACACATACAATGTGTGGCTGAGGAATAAAGGGCAATGATACCATAATTGTGCAGTGTTTCATTCAAAATAATTTCAGTTAATTAAAAAAAATAAGTTGGGGAAATCTGTACTTTAATTTTTTAGCTCTGCGGCACCCCCCAGACTCCTCTTCAACGTCTGTTTTATGGGAAGAATGGGATTTTTATAAAGCGTTTGGAGAGTCAGCGATCTGTATGCAGGTGAATTCTGTTATAGGGGGATGCAGTTCTCAAGTCTGGCCTCTGCCAGAAGTGTAGGGATTGTGGCAGATGACAGTGGAGTACTGCCAGCGTATCCAAGTAGTAGCCCCAACTGTAGCTGCCGTGCCAGGTATCACATCTTTACTGAAGTAGAATGTCACAGTCTTGGGGACATGGTATGCTGCTGTTGATCTGGCAAATGCATTCTTTTTAATACTCAGTAAGGAGGAAGATCAGAAGCAGTTAGCATTCTCATGGAATAGACAACAGTACACATCCACGTTCTCACCCCAACATTATGTTTTATGTTAACGATGCTGTCATAATACACTCTCAAGGAGCCTGGACCACCTGGATGTTCCACGGACTGCAGACTATAGGACATGATACAGTAACATGAACATCCTGCTAAGCCCTGATGAGCAAGAATTGGCAAGCATGTTGAAGGCTTGGAAAGACACAGGTACTCCAGAGAGTGAAAGGTAAACCCCAGAAGCAATTCAAGGCTTGACACTTTGTTTGTAGGTGTCTGGTGACATGGAACATGTCAGGACATCTCCTTTTAAGCACAAAGTAATGCACCTTGCATTTCTTATCACTATGAAAGAAGCATAAAGCTTGGTAGGTCTCTTCAGGTTTTGAAGGCAGCATGTTCCGCTCTTGGGAGGAATAACCTGACATTTATTACGTGGACACAGAGGCAGTTTTGTTTGTTTTTGAGCAGGGCCCAGAGCAAGAAAGGGCTTTGCAGTAAGTTGGGGATGGGGGGAAAAGCAGTCCTGCTAGTTGGGTGAAATGACTTAGCAGCTCTCATACTAGAAGAATTTCTCGTAGAGAAAAGTGCTCTGTGGAGCCTTTGGCAAGGTTCGGGGCGGGCGGGGGTGGGGGGGAGTTGTGTTACAAACCCTTGAGATTCTGCAGCAAGCCCATGCCATCTGCTGCAGAAAACTGTATACCATTTGCAGAACAGTTCCTGTCATGCTAGTGCACCCCGGTTGAGACAGAGCATCTAAGAAGTAGACAGGATGACTTGATCTAGCTTCTGTCCTTGGCCACTCCAGTGGAAATTATGCATGGGCCGAACAGCACCATCTCCCTTTTACCCAGGTTCATCTAGCTACTGGTCCTGTTGAATGGCTGATCTGCTTGCAATAGAGGCCAAAGCTGAGCTTCTGATCTGGCACCGTCCCTCAAGGACATCAACCAGCCTCTCGGTGGCAATTAGATTACATCAGGTCCCTTATACTTTGGGAAAGGCAATGTGTTATCCTTACCAGAACTGATGTGTATCCTATAATTTGCCTTTCCTGCCTGCAGGGCCTCGGTCAGCACCACTATCCGAGGGCTCACAGAGTAACTGATTTACTGACATGAGATCCTGATTAATGATAAACGAACCTACTTTACAGCAGAGGAGTATGGCAGCGAGGGCGTGACCGGGTATCTACTGGTTCTACCACATACAGCATGAAGTGTCTCCAGAGGACGCTATAGCCTGATGGGCTTCTTGAAGGCACAGCTGAGGAATTAGCTTGGAAATCATATCCCGCGCAGACGGGGTGCCATTCTTCAGCATATGGTAGAGACCTTAAACCAATGGCTGTTATAGGCTACTGTGTTTGTAGCAGTGATCTGGGAACAGAAGGGAGGATGTAGGAATGGCTTCACTCTCTGTTGGCCCTCTTGGAGAATTTGTTCCTTCTGTCTCTGTCTGGTTGGTCTACAGGTCTTTGGCCTCAGAGAAGCAATGCCTCTCACCAAGTGAGACTGTAAGAGTCTCCCTAAACTTAAAGCTTTGGCTCTACCTAGTCACCTTGGCCTCCTCATGCTGACAGATCAGAGGCACAGAAAAGAGGTACTATACTGGCAGCGGTAACTGACCCCAATCATCATGAATAGGTAAAACAACTACTACATAATGGAAGCAGTGAGGAATGTGTTTGGAACTCAGGTAATCCACTGAGGTGGTCTTCTGGTGCTCTCATGCCCAGATTTAACTGTAGATGACAAACCACATCCTGATAAGGGCACGGGAACCAGGGGCTCACCCCACAAGGCAAGCCACCTGGACCAACAGAAGTGCCAGTTGAGGGGGGCGGGAACCTAGAGTGGGTGAGGACATGATGAGTATCAGTTAAGCCCTTGAGACAGCATCAAGGGCTATAGTTTGCTCTACCAACCCTCCTCTGTAAATTTTCCCAGAAATTACGACCAGCCAGAATCTTGGAGAAGCGGTGCCCGAATGGAATGAACAACATGAAAAGCACATGGCTCTGAGTGGTTCAAGAAGTGGACCCCGCAGTGGATGCCGCTGGTGCTCTACCTGGATCCCTTCACCAGGCTGGTGCATCTATCCTCCAGCTGCTGTGGGTTTTGGCTGCTAACAGCTCAGAGCTGGCCACTTCTCTGGAGATCTGCCTGTGGCTAAACTGGAGCCTCCCGCCTCACCTGGGAAGTTACTATTCCCCCCTCTTCTCAGAGGCAGTGGCTGATTGACACAGGGCCCCAAACACCAGCCAAGAAGATGGCAGAGTAGAAAGGCCCTGAGCTCACCTCCTCTCACAGGCACATCACAATCACAACTGTCTGCAGAACAACCATCGAAGAAAAAGGCTGGAACCTTCCAGGAAAGATCTTCTACAATGAAAAGCATAAAGAAGGAACCACAACAAGACGGGTAGGAGGAACGGACTTGCGACATAATCAAATCCCATGCCCTCCCAGGTGGGCGGCTCACAAATGGGAGAATAATTATATTGCAGAGGTTCTCCCACAGGTGTGAGAGTCCTGAGCCCCACATCAGGCTCCCCAGCCTGTGGTTCCAGCACTGGGAAGAGGAGCCCCCAGAGCATTTGGCTTTGAAGGCCAGCCGGGCTTAACTGCAGGAGCCCCACAAGACTAGGGGAAATAAAGACTTCACTCTTAAAGGGCTCACACAAAATCTCACGTGCACCAGGACCCAGGGCAAAAGTAGTGATTTGATAAGAGCCTGGGTCAGATCTACCTGCTGACTTTGGAGAGTCTCCTGGAGAGGTAAGGAGTGGCTGTGGCTAACCCTGGGGACAAAGACACTGGTGTCTGTCAGACATACCGGGGAACATTCAACTGCGTGAACACTCCTGACAACTGACATCTTGGATCATTAGCGCCAAGACCAGGCCCCACCCAAGAGCCTGCAGGCTCCAGTGCTGGGGTGCTTCAGGCCAAACAACTAAGTGTGCAGGAACACAACCCTACCCATCAGCAGACAGGCTGCCTACAGACTAAAGAACCCACAGCCGCCTGTGGACACACCCCTAGACAGGGCCCAGCCCACCAGAGGGCCAAGACCCAACTCTACCTACCAGTGGGCAGGCACTGGCCCCTCTTGCCAGGAAGCCTGCACAAACCTCTAGATCAGCCTCACCCACCACAGAGCAGACACCAGAAGCAAGAAAACTACAATCCCACAATGCAGGCCTCCTGGGACTAGCTGGGCCCTGGCCCTGCCCAGTAGCAGGCCAACGCAACCTTCCAGACACCTTGGACCCCATAGTCAACTGCCTCCCCCCGCAGTGATCTGAAATGAGCTCTGGGATCCCAGGGCCCTGCAGCCAGACTCTAGGAACCAGCTCTCCCTGCCACTAGTCCAGCACTAACCCCAGGATCTGGCTTTACCTGCCAGTGAGTTGGCGACAGCCTCAGTCTTTGGGACCCTGATTCCACCCACCAGTGAGCACTAGCCCCAGGGCCCCCTAGGATTCCACAACCAGCCACCTCGTGACCAGGCCCCACTAAACAGCAGCCAGCAGCAACTGCACAAGGCAGGGCCTGGCAACCAACCAGACTAGGGGCCAACCAAGCCTACCAGACCACCCACACAGCCTGTCATAAGAGGAGGACCCACCCAGCCCTCTTAGGGGGAACCCCTAGAGCATATACCGTGGGTGCACTGCTCGGATGCACAGGATGCCTTCTCCAAGGTCGAGAAACGTTAACTTACCAACCACATACATAAAAATACAAATAGCAACTTAGACAAAATGAGGTGGTAGAGGCGTATGTTCCAGACAAGATAAATCTTTAGAAGAAGAACTAAGTGATATGGAGATAGTCAAGCTACCCGAGAAAGAGTTCAGAGTAATGATCATAAAGATGATCAAAGAACTCAGGAGGAGAATGGATGCACAGAGCAAGAAGTTAGAATTTTTTAACTAAGAGTTAGAAAACATAAAGAGCAACCAAACAGAGATGAAGAATACAATAACTCAAATGAAAAATACACTAGAAGGAATCAATAATAGAATAAATGATTCAGAAGAATGGAT